ACATTTCTTTCTTTCTTTCTTTCATTCTTTCTTTCTTTCTTTCTTTCTTAGTCTATCTATATATATATATATATATATATATATATATATATATATATTTTAGTATATTCGTAATATCTGCGTTTTTTATATCTCAACGTCTTCGTCCTTATCTCTTTTTTTTCTTTGCATCACAATTTATATATATATAAACATTGGCGTGCACAATTTTGGATCCACCCTTGAAATTAATTACTTTTATTAATTTTACCCTCAAATCAAGAGTGATTGGCAGTATGTTTTTCTCAGTGCATTTTATTATCTTTGAGAACCAGAAAACAAGTCACTGCATTTTCGTTAATGCTGCATGTTGGATAAGAGAAAGCATCTTCAGCATAATAATGAAAGGAGAAAGACTATGCAGAAATATATGACCATCAGCGAAAATGTCACCTTTCAGCTGTTTTCTGTTGAAGCTTGGATAAGCATGGAATAATAATAATACAACACAAAATGTACGTAAACAAAATGTATTGAAACAAGGAAAAGGTACACAATATTTACAGTTAGTTTTGGTATATTCTTGGGAAGACTGTTCCTGTAGAATGGGTTGACTTAATCGCAGTCGGGCAGAGTCTCTGGATTGGATCTCTTGTTATTTCCCTCGTCTTCCCGGTACCAACCCATATTTTTATGGTCGGTACTCCACTATGTAAATTAGGTGGATCGTACCACAACATTTTCTTAAGTTAAAAAGCATTTTGTTTTTGCTAAAAGTGTTCTTTATTATTACAGAAAATGCAAAACGTCAAAATATAGGATTATTTCTTAGTATTTCTGCCTTTGGTTCGAATAATTGTCTCAATTCGATGTGGTGTTGAATGGAACAAAATGCAGATACTTTTTTCCCATTCTTCTTGACACTAATCCCAAAACTGTCGAAGATGACGTTGTTTCTTCAGATCTCTCCAGAATGCTACAATTATATTCAGATCATGGCTTGGCGCTGGTCAGTCTTCCCAAAACTTGAACATCTTCATCCACAAGAAACCTTTATGTTGCACGTGATGTGCGGCAAGGAAGCACCGCCATTTTGAAAAAATCTCTCCCTCTTCACAGTCTGGCGGAAGATATAATATATATATATATATATATATATATATATATATATATATATATATATAACGACCCACTCACATACGCACTAACGCTAAAAGCCAAAAGAAGAGAAAAGAACCAAAAAATGAAATATATCCTCTTGAGGAACACACACACACACACTCTCTCTCTCTCTCTCACTCACTCACTCACTCACACACACACACACACACACACACACACACACACACACACAGAGGAATTGTGCCAAAACATCAAAATATACCATTCCTTCATTTCCTTCAGCAAAAGGCCTTTTCGGAGGAAAGTGGTCAAAACAATGTAGAAAACCGCCACTTTCTCCCATTTTCTTCATATGTTTGCATCATTTTATTCTTTCCCTCATATACAGGGTGTCCCAAAATAATGTATACACTCTTTGAATCGTTATAACTTATTCAATTTATGCATTTTAACTTGTAAATAAGATTAATACAAGAGAAAGAAAACACATTTAAAGAATTTGAGAGTAAAATATACAAAAAAAACATAAAAAATTAACTTTAAAAAGTTACTTGGGACAATGGCAGAATGTTCACATAATGATGAGTTCACATCAAGTTATCAAAGTGGTTGCCTTTCTGTTCAATACACTTTTCATATCTTGAAGAAATAGATCTACAAACGTCGAGTATCATTTCCTCTGGTATTTGAGCACATTCTTCTTCAATTGCTACTCTCATTTCTGCAATTGTTTCAGGTTTCCTGCTGTAAACGTTGTCTTTTAGAAACCCCCACAAAAAGAAATCCAAGGGTGCCAAATATACATATATATATATATATATATATATATATATATATACAAAAGAAATTCGGCTTACTAACACATAAAAAGAGAATGTCTCATATCAAGAATATTTAACATTGAAAAACATAAAGGTGAAAAAAATTAATTATTTTTAATAATATGTGGAAATCTCCATCCTTTACCTGATGACGGTCGCAATACCAGAAACACGTGTAGTAAAATTATGGAAAATAAAGCATAATATTTTTCTAAAAATATCCACATTACAACCAAAAACGTTTGCTGTATCTCTCTTCTTTTTAATATACACACTTTTCTCTCGTTGGAACTACTATAACCTCTTCCTCTTATATATATATATATATATATATATATATATATAGCTAGGTAGGTAGTTGTGCGGATCTATTACGCACGAACATACATACACACAAAAATACAAATCACATACAACGACAAGTATTCATTGGTTAATTAATCACCATTACGTTATTATAGACAATTTACAAATCGCAGCAGTGCGACAATTTTGTAATCGCTCTATTTTTAAGTAGTCAATTTTGTGTACTTTTAGGAGAAATGGATCACAGAAGCTTTCTTAAGTCTCCCCAAAGCTCGTTCGCTGATTGGTCGATGCCAACCAATCAGATCGTTTGCACGTGAAAAATAATTCTTCCCGCGCAACGATTTAGAGCCTATAGTCGCTTATTTAAGCCAAGAGATTTTTCATCCCGGTTAGTGAGAATTCAACTACCAAATGAATCCACGACAGTTAAAACCATGTGCCAACTTTCTCACTCACACACACCACTCACATGCTGAACATACCTTGTACACACTCACATAAACTTTTCTTACACAGCAATATCTTTCAAGAACAATCATTATAAGAGACTCTCATGAACATTCTTCCAGTGAACTTTGAACCAAATTACTATTTTTCATTGAACACTAAAATAACAGTTAAAGAGAGACAACTCTTGGTTAATCCAACCTTTTCTTATTTAAATGCATGCTTTTCTTCACATCGTTGTTTGATATTGTACATCTTGTTAGATACATATTTTATGTGTAACAATGTCTTTTGATTATCCTTTTTTTGCATGAGCCTTGTTTCCTAATCTAAAGTTAAATTAATGTGGCGTAGTCCGCCACATAGTAATTCGTTGGTATAATCCCCGTCCTGGATAAAACGATAAACTAAATCCAACAGCAAGGCCTTTGATCAGGAGGTTTTGCGGGGTATGGAACCACCTCTTAATTGCTGGTGCCCCCAGGTCTACCCAGACCCGGGGTGGTAACATCTGTCAGAACCCCAGCTATGGATAAATAGTTGATCACTAAAGTGGGGTCGAAACACTATGAAAGTTTAAAAATAGGTTTCAATACCAGCAATACATTTTTGTAAAAGCTTTAAAAAATTATTACCAGCAATAAAAATCTTGTCGGCATTTAATAACCCCGAGAGGTTGATATGTCGTAAAACAAACCAAACCAAACCAGACCAGACCAAAATAGTTGGTATAATCCAGGCGAGTCTTCTTAACACAAACTGACTCACAAAAGAGCGCTCATTGTTTATTTTCGTTAAACTAAGCTAATTTTCTTTACATTTGGAATTAAGATACCTTTAGTAAATGACCGTTTTTCACATACGAATTTTAATTTTAAATTTCGCAGAAGTTTTCAAACTATCTTGATGAGATAGAAAGTTTGAAAAATCCTGCGAATTTTAAAATTAAAATTCGTATGTGAAGATAGTCATTTACTAAAGGTATCTTAATCCCAATTGTAATATAAATATATATATATATATATATATATATATAGTTTATGCAAAACTAAGTAATCCGCATGGGTAGACCCAAGTAGGATGATATTACTTTGGAAGTAAAGTCTGATGATCCAGAGCCCTGTTAAAGTGGTTGTGGTGAAATAACTTATTACATGGAACCTTAAAGTGGTCTGTTTTTATTCAAATATATATATATATATATATGTAAGTGTGTATGTATGTGTGTGTGAGTGTGAGTGTGTGTGTGTGTTTGCAGATATATAGAAAAATAGGAAATAGTTTTTATTTTTAAAAAACAGTGCTCAATAGAAAAGTAGAGCCTAAATTATAATTATTTTTCATAATTATTTAATAATTATAATTATGATTATTATAACCATATTTTATATATATATATATATATATATATATATATATATATATATATATATATATATATATAAAAAAAATATATGTATGTAAACAAATATGGTTATCGCTGTTTAGGTTTTTCATCAATTTTTACCAATTTTCTTCTAGTATTGCTTTTGACGTAACCCCAAACCAACATGTGTCCACCAACACAAGATTTGACAATTTTTGTGGTGTATCTTACATTATTTTTTTTTTTATTTTACCCCACTGGATATCATACAAATGCATCAGAATGTTACTATTTTACATTGATCACTAAAAATTATTTGACACTTTTCAGCATCCCATGTTCTTTTGAGGAATTCATTATTCCGTCCCGATGTGTGTCGGTTAATGGTGATAGTTTTGCTGCTGTACGTCCATTATTAACTTCAAGTGAGACCACACTGTTACAACAGAGGACATTTCAATTTATATTCAATGTTGATTTTCTGTAACACATTCGTTGGTCGGATATTCTTGGCCTATGGCTGAGATTCGATCAAGGCTTCGACTAGCTTGAACTGGCTCCGGCCTGGACTTGCTAGGACAAGTCATGACCAGCTTTGACTAGGCTCTGACCAGCTTGGACAAGCTATGACCAGTTTTGGACCAGTGGCCCTTTGAGTGGAAACGCTCGGGTCTCCCACGTTAAACGACCTTGTGTCACATCTTGACCCCGTGGGAGTTAAGTAAATACCATTCGTTGGTCGGATAGAGTTGTTACGAATGGTTAAGTTAGAGATACTAGATTTAATGGAGTATATAACTAATGTATTTGGTGGGGTACCTCGAGGCGGTGTAATGATTAACAAGCTTGTCTCGCTACAACAATTACGACTGACTAGTGAGTTCGATCCTCACTGGGTGCTTCCTAATTTCGGCCTTCTGCCACATCTAAGGTACGCTTAGGGCACCTCGAGGCGG